TTGACCCTCTTCCAAAGAATGTGTGACTAAATTTAGGAAGAAGTCTCCGAGAACACCACCATAGGTCAAAAGAGCAATTGAGTATCTTGACAAGAAGGTTTTTCAAGGTTTGTGACTGGAAAGTGAACATCAAAGAGTCAGAAAATATCGACCTTCATGGAAAAACCAATTTGACTGATTGACAGGGCTCTATTTTTTCTATAATACAACTTAGGGACTTGCAAATATTCATATTCTGAAGAACTTTTCAAGATTACAAATAAAATATAAATAAGAACATTTTCTGGATTTTGTCTTGGTTCCAACTAACCTAAAACATCATCCAAAATGCTTCAACAGAATTTTTAACTTATGGTATATCCCCTCAGAAATATATATAAAGATCAATAATCTTTCAATGTTCTAATGACACGAAATGGTGACAAGATTGTTGATGAGTAAAACAAGCGTCTGCAACAGTATGCTCATTGAAAATTAAAAAGCGAAATTAATGTGCCAGGAAAAAGTCATTCTCACAATATCATGGACTGATTATAAGAACTAATAAATGTTAAATGAGTGAGATACCTAACAACAATAATATCTAGTGAATTAAACGTTTGTCCAACCGGCAATGTTGTGTCTGTCTCAACCTTTATCATTGAAGGTCTTATTGAAGAGGTGTAGACTTTTTATCGACGTTCAGTTTCTCTCTGTAGTTATATTGAAAATGTAGAAGGTTACTCATACTTTTGGTCTGTGGATAGAATTAGAATATACATAAATAGTTATGTCTGTTGATATGTTTGATTGTATGTATGTATTTGGGGTGGTAGTTTAGATGATTTGTTTGAGTAGATTTATACTTCAGTTTTAGTTAGATGTTAAGTTAAACTTCTCAAGAGCTTAAAATTGATGTTATAAACTTGTATGTATTCAAGTGCTTATCAGACATTGCCTTTTAGGGTCACCGTGAAGAAAATTGCTATGAATGATTATATTACACACATTTTTAGTTAATGGCGTTGCTTTTGGCCATATTAATTTTTGTGTTTGGAAAGAAATGGAAAAGAACTGTAAGAATTGGATGGAGTTTGATTCTTAAATTGAAGTTTTCAAATGAAAAATGAATGTGAATATATAGCATTGAATAAAAATCTCCTTATACTGCCAGAGGGAGAGGTAATATTAAGGTTGAAAAAGTTACGGAGAGATGAAGTATATAGAAATCAAATTCATGATCACTGTTGCGCTACATACATGAATAATCAAGAAAGTAGTCGGAATACTAAAATTCAAAAATAGAGTAAACTCGTATTAGAACATGCAGAGAAGGGGGATAATTACTGAAAATTAGAATA